GTATAGGCAGCCTCTCCTAGATCCTTCATAGCGAAACACTTTCCAAACCATGACTTAACTTCCTGCAAGGTTGGAATGTCGTTTCCTCTGAGCATTATGTTGTCAACATACAGTACCAAAAAGCTAACTATACGCCTACTAGCTTTGACATATACACATGACTCATTCTCACTCCTAGATAAGCCAAACTCTTTGACCTTCTCATCAAAGCAAAGATTCCATCTGCGAGAAGCTTGCTTCAATCCAGAGATTGATTTTTCAAGGTTACACACTCTATTGGGGTACTTAGTATCTACAAAACCCTCTGGCTGACATAACATCTTCAGCCAAATTTCCATTAAGGAGAGCGGTTTTGACATCCATCTGTCATATTTCATAGTCATGAAACGTAGCTATGGCTAGCATAACCCTAATAGATTTGATCTTAGCCACTGGTGAGAAGGTCTCATCATAGTCAACCCCTGGGGTTTGAGTAAAGCCCTTCGCAACTAGCCTTTCCTTGAACATGTGTACCTTTCCATCCATGTCGGTCTTCTTCTTGAAGATCCATTTGTACCCCAACTGTCTTACGACCTTGTACATTGTCAACCAAGTTTCAAACTTGATTGTTATATATGGACTAGATCTCGTTGGCCATTGCATCTTTCCATTTAGTAGACTCAGGGCTTGCAATGGCTCCTTGTAGTTAGAAGGCTCATCCAAATTTACCAATGTACAATCATTGATAAACGTATCACCATCCATAGTAATATGAAAACCATAAAACTCCGGTGCCATTCTAACTCGAGTGGAATGCTTAAGAGGTAATGACTCATCAATTGGTTTAACAGGAATTTCTTCCTCGGGTTGAGCGCTAGTGTTAGAGGTTCCTTCATCGCTTGAAACCTGAATTTCTTCAAGATCAATTATACTCTCACTGTCCTCTTTGCATATGAGTTCCCTCTCATGAAAAACTCCCATTCGTGCTACGAAGAACACATTCTCACTAGGTCTGTAGAACAAGTATCCAAAGGACTTCTGTGGGTAACCGATGAAAATATACCGCTCACTTCAAGGTTCAAGATTTACGTGAGTCTCTCATCAAACAAAAGCTTCACAACGCCAAACCTTGATATGTGCCAATGAGGGAACCTTCCCTATCCACATTTCGTGAGGAGTTTTGGAAATCTTCTTTGTAGGGACTAGATTAAGGATATGGGCGGTAGTTTCTAAGGCATACCCCCAAAATGATATCAGAAGAAAAGCTCGACTCATTATGGAACGAACCATGTATAATAAGGTTCGATTACGCCTCTCAACCACACCATTAAGCCACGGTGTCCTAGGAGGAGTCAATTGTGAAACAATTCCACATTCCTTGAGGTAGTCGTGGAACTCGATATTAAGATATTTACCACCCTATCGGATATGAGGATCTTGATCTTCCTACCCAACTGATTTTCGACTTCATGTTTAAACTCTTTGAAATTGTCAAAGGTTTCTGTCTTATGCTTGATTAAGTAGATATATCCATATCTTCTATAATCATCGGTAAAAGTCACATAAAATCGATTCATATCCCTTGTGGCTGATCTAAAGGACCCAAAAACATCGATCTGTATGAGATCCAACAATTCCTCACTTTTTTCACTAGAACCTGTGAAAGGTGATTTAGTCATCTTTCCAAGCAAACAAGACTTGCATGTATCGTCCGAATTTAGGTCAAATGATTCCAACACTCTATCCTTTTGGAGTTGGGTAATGCATTTCTTGTTGACATGTCTAAGATGATAATGCCACAAGCATGCTTTTTCTAAACCATTAGACAAATCAATATGCAACACACTATTTCCTAAATTGTCTACAACCATCACAATTTCATATACACCATCACAAGGCAATGCTTCAGAATAAAACACACCATTATAATAAGCATTAACAGATCCATTCTCATTATTAAAAGAATATCTAAAGCCTTGTCTATACAAACTATGAAAAGAAATAATATTCCTTGTCATTTCTGACGAGTAGCAACAATTATTCATGTCTAAACATAATCCACTACTAAGCTCTAAAGAATAAATGCCGATCATGGTAACAAGCAACAGTCTCTTGTTGCCCATTATCAGGCTCATCTTTCCAAGCTCCACATTCCTACTTTCTCTTGGTCCCTGCAAGTCAGAGTAAATGTGAAAACCACATCATGTATCAAGGACCCATGAATTAGAATGCGATATATTTTTAGATAAAATAATGTAAATACTTGCCGAGGTAAGCTTGATCTTGCCATCCTTAATGTCCTGCAGGTACTTGGGGAAACTTCTCTTCCAATGCCCCTTGTCTTGGTAGTATAAACACGTTGCATCTTTTGGATCTGAGACAGGGGGAGAAAAAATGGATTTTCCTGTGGGTCCACTAGAAGACCCTTCATGAGACCTTCCCTTCCATCTTCGCTTAGAGGGAGTTTTCCTCTTTTTCCCCTTCCTTTATCCAATTGCCATGATTGGAGCAGCATCAGTAGGAGGATTGGATTCAATAGCTTTTCCTTTTAATCCACTTTCAAAAGTTCTCAACAACCCTTGAAGTTTACCCAAGGTGAATTCCTCTTTGATTAAATGATAAGTCATTTTGAACTGATCATAGCAAGGAGGCAATGAGTGCAAGACTATGTTAATAGCCAGCTCCTCATCGAAGTTCACATTCAGCTTGAGTAAACGATCCACATATCTCTGCATGTATTGCAGGTGGGTCGTGATGGACTCTCCATCCTTCATCTTGATGGTAATGAGTGATATGATTATTTCATACCTTTCTTGATGTGCACTTTGATGGTACTTCTCCATCAATTCCTTGCACATCTTGTAAGGCCAATAGTCCTCATAGAACCACTGCAACTCAGGAGTCATGGTGGCCACCATACTGCACGATACTTTGGTAGCATTATTATCGTGAGCTCTATACTAAGCTATTTCTTTAGGAGTAGCTTGTGATTCATTTATCTCGTTTATCTCCTTGTTGAGGATGTATTCCTTGTCCTCAAATCGCAAGGTCATTCAGATGTTGCAAATCCAATCATTAAAATTGGATCCATTGAATTTCACATTGGCATAGATGCTCAAGAGCGAGAAAGTGTTGGAGGAACCACAACCGTTGTTTGAGGTAGACATCTGAAAAAGAAGACAAAAAAAGTTTTGATTAGATAAGGAATCCTTAATATAACACCCAAAATGAAATATTAAGTCTAGGACCCAACACAATAATTCACAATTCATAATAGGGATGTTGTAATCCAATTGTAAATTATTTGAAGGTAGGTAAATGATGACTTACCAATTCCACCATGAAAACGCAATTTTAAATGAATTAGGTTTTTTAAATGAAATGAAATTCATAGATCTTCTGAGATTCATTGAACTATACAATGACATGTTTAATCTTGATTATGCCCTTCAAATTTGTGACTGTGATACCGAAGATCACAAACAAGGTGTGACTAACCATGCAACTTAGCTTGATACTCTCGATGTCACTTACCTCCTAACCAATGTGTCAGTTAACCACACACACTCCATTGATCAATGATAATTTATGAGCTACCCATTTCCACCCTTTGTTAGTCCAATTTAGTATACCGGTTAACCACATACGCTCCACTAACGACTTGACAAAGTGCAATGTGCAATTTTATGGATTAGCATCAAATTCATATTTTCCTAAAGTAACTAAGATTAGGAATTAATAAAAACATTAATTTACTTTATATTTATCATTATACTTATTAATGAGAGATTAATGTCATATCCTACCCGTTCGGTTAACGACCCTCCGCCAATCAAGGAAGCGGTGGGTGAGAGTGGAAGCCCATTCAACCTACATTTTATAGGCAGTTTCCTTATTCCCCCCCCCCCCTAATAGACTGGCTTCATGAATGAGACCTAATAACGGTAAGATTGACTATATATATATATATATATATATATATATATATATATATATATATATATATATATATATATATATATAAATTAAACTTTTAATTTTATAGTAGTATAAGGGTGTATTTTAATCTTTTAAAATACTAGGGTTCTAGAATTTAAGATTTCAAAATTAAACTATTAATTAAATTTTAACTTTTGAAACCAAAGTGGTATTTTTAAAACTTTTCAAAAATACTAGATCAAATTTTAAATAATTAAATTAATCAAATAATTTTGTCTCTAACTTAAAATTTGACCAAATCTCTTATTTTGATAAGGATTTAGATTTACTTTTCCAGAAAATTTAGTTTTAGACATTTAAAACGAATTTGGAAATTATCCTAATCAAAAAAGATATCAAAATCGAAAAATCAGGGATCTGACTCGTCGAGTTATTGCAATACACTCGTCGAGTAGGGGCAACTCGTTGAGTCCCACTTTGAACCCGTCAAGTCAGATGAATAGATTGACGAATCTGTTCCCACTTCCTTTGGACAATTCACATATGCATCAAATTCATTTGAAAAACAACCTAGTCTCTGATACCACTGATGGGTTTTGAGTATAACTACATCCTATGTGATCATGCAATCCTAATTGCTTTGGATCTAAGTTTTTCACCTGTTGAACATGCAATTGAATACCAAAGCAATAAACCCTATATCTAGCATACAATTTCGAAAATCATAAAACAAAAGGGTTTTTGATGATTACGTTGCTTGTTATGTAGTAATAACAAGAACTCCTTGTAGATCCTTGACTCTTGAAAGCTCAGTGTACAAGGATTTGCAAAACAACCCTATTTCTTTAATCAGTTCCTTTAATCCCAAAATTAGCTTCAAATTTATTTCTGATTAAATACTAATTAAATAATATTATTTCTAATTAATATATTATTTTCATAATACATTAAAATCAATTTAATATTCCAAATAATAAATTTAACATCTTTCTCCAAAAGTCATCCTGTCAAGTTGCTTGGTTGAAGGCAAAGGACCATGCAACAACTATACAATCAAGTAGATACCAATTATATTTATGGTCTTAGACACCTAATCCAACAATTGTTTCTTCTTTTGGATCCACAATAGGTTTTTTCTTCAATACCATAGCAATTTCAACATCCAGCTTTGTGACTTCGTGAATATAACAGATCAACATTATTTTCACATAAGAAACAATCGACTCATACTTTGCTTCATCCTTAGATAAAATCATAAACAAAGAAATCCAATCATTCAGAATCATACATGGAAAATTTTCAAGTGTGAAATCCTCTTCGATGCGAGCTACTCCACGAAAATCTCTAAACTTGATGTTTGTGAAGTGCTCTATGGGAATTGGAGCATAGGTTTTCACAGCAACAAGCTTCTTCAAGTTCCAAATCTTGTACCTAGGTTGACCATACTTGAGATAAAAGATTAAAAGCATGTGGTTAACATTGAAATCCGAAAGAGGAGACTTCTTAATTTGAGCAAACCCTCAGGATAGAAAAGATCTCAGAGATTGGAAAATCTATTTGAGAATCCGCTGTATTATCCAACTCAAAAGACACTGACGGTTCTAACCAATGAACGCTTAGATCCTCGATTGCTTCTCGCTGAATTCACTCTAAGGTCCATAGAGGAAAGTGAGTCTGCCGAGTTGTAAGAGTGACTTTCGCAACTTCTTCTTCATCTTCTTTAGCTTCTAATTCTTGGCAAAGAGCAAGAAGATCATCAAGCACCTTGTCATGACTCTTTTCAATTTTCTCCTTCAAACAATTCTTCTTCAATTTCATCGTCATATGTCAGTTTTCCTTTTCCTTTAGATCTCGATGCTTCATTAACCTTAAAATCTTTCTTTTGTTTATTCTCATGTTGTTCCTCGGTAGGCTTCTTGATCTGAGGCTTGAGTCGTTGAGGCTTAGGTTTTTCTTTTTCTTTAACAACTTCTCCCCCTTGTTTCGGAACATGAATACTGTCCAAAACACCCTGTAGTTGATTGAGGATGGCAAAGATAGGCTGAAGTTTTTTCGCGAGGTGCTGGCGAACTGAAACCGTAAACAAAGAGTCACGAGTTTCAATAAGATTGTGTAAGTATAGATTTATATTGGAGACACAACTTTGGAATACAGCTTTCTCAGATGCCATGTGTTCCAGATGCTTGGTTGCACAACCCAGAGAGAACCTTAACTTTTTAAGTTTTATGAGCCAACGAATCCATGAGTGTGTTTTCAGCAGCAAGATCTTTCTAAAGCTGCTCTATCCTTGAAACAACAGAAGCAACCATTTCAGCAGAATCGGTTTGTATTTAACGATGAACGCGGGAAAAGGCTTCTCTTTTAGTTTGTTGAGTTGAGATATGACTTGTAATAACCTTGTTCTCTGCTAGGTGTTCTTATCAGCAGAGGCTCGGAAATCTTGCATGAACTGTGTGACTTCAGATTGTAGTTTTTTCAACTTTTTCGGTCATTTCAACAATTGCCTTCTAAGATTCCTTGATTACCTTGGTTGAGTTTTCAAGGACTTTAGCATTGTGATTTGAGTATAAACTCATAATTTGAAGACACAAGAGAGGACTCTAAAAAGTGAATCTAATTTGGAATTGAGCTTCTTCAATTGCCCTTGAGTCATAGGATCTTCATCATCATCACTTGTTGGACGCACAGTGAAGGGACTAAAGACAAAATTCTGAAGGTCGTCTTGATCATCTCCATACATAACATCTGGATCATTGTCCCTCAAAGGGGAAATTAGAGAGGATCTAGGACCAGTTGTAATACCAAAAGTACCTACCCCCGTATCAAATACGTTGATAATCACTGAAGGTGAACTCATGGTGGCGGTTGTTGTTATTGTAGTGGAATCTGTGTAGAGTGGAGTTGATTAGGCTATTAAAATTTGTGGTTAAGAAATACCAACAGACACATTTGGGAAAGGAGTAATGGGAATTGGTGTAGAAGTAATGATCAGAGAAGGTGGAGGAGAAGGAACATGAAAGAAATCAGTTGTTAAAGGAACTGAAATTGAGATTGGAGATGATACCTTCAGAGTGGATTAAGTAGGAATTGATTTCGAGACCAATGGTGCGGAAGTAGTTGTTCTATCGTCTGTTTTATTCTGACCAACATCATGTTCATGTAGATCCGAATGAGTGTGTGATTCAAAAGCCTCTTGAATAGGAAACAGAGACCTTGGCTTCCGAGCAGCCTTCTTTACTTTCTTTTTCGAAGTGGCAACAGGTTCGGAAGGACCTGCTTTTCCTTTTCGTTTTCCTCCCTTTTTGGGCTTATTTCCCTCCTCAAGCGCCTTTCGCAAATCTTCTGGCATAGGACGAACACCAGATGCAGGCTTCTTTCAATATGCATTTATAACCACATTGTCAATAGGAACATGAAGGAGCATGGCTTCCTGAATGGAACCAATAAAATTGAACTTGCTAGGATCAGATACCATAAAGTTGTGCAGAATAGGAATCGTAGCAAGAACATAATCACTTTGAATCTACAATGATCAATGCAATCTATCGCATGCATCATTGTTTTTTTAGTCGGTGTTGTTGCATATTTGTACATGCATCATAAAAGTATGTCATAACCATTAAAATATTTACAGTTATAGATTCAAAGTGTGAATCTACATTGATCAATGTTTTTTTAGTCAGTGTTGATGTTTGTTAATAGAGTACAAAAAATTAATTTTTTAGGTATAATTTTTTTTTTTATAAAAATAAACTTAAATCTTGAAAAGACTAACAAAATGAAATGAGTTTTTGTTGAAGAAAAAGTTCATTTTTTATATATAAACATGGATCTCTATAGAAAGAGGATTAAAAATTAAGAATAATAGTATATTTGTTTTTTTTTTTTCAATAAAAAAATGTGGCCTAAAAACATTTTAAACGAAAAAAAGAGGTGGGTTATTTGTAAGGAAGTAGTTTTTTGGTATAAAATTTGGTGTGTGTACGTCCAATGTACAAGTGTATATCTATTTCATTGGTCGTTGATCATTATGATTTCCGACACTCACGATTGGTTCCTTGGTTCATTGTTAATTATGGTTTTTGTTGAACCTCACCATATATACATATATGTATGTATATATATATATATATATATATATATATATATATATATAGGTAAATGTTTAAATGAGAACCATAAAAAATTAAGAACCATAAGAACCACTTTTTTTACCTTATAACTTAAATCATCAGACATATTTGATCAATCTTATATCACAAGACAACTTTTCTCTTTATCTCTTTCTATCTCTTACCTCCTACCGTTGCGGATGACCACCACCATCGCCGGCACCACCATCGGCACCGTCGCCATCGTCGGAATACAACAATCTTCGGATCTGGAGCCGCCACCTTCAGATTTGAAGCATTCACCTTTAGATCTGGTGCATTCGCCGTCAGATCTAGAACCCCTGACTTCAGATCTGCCATTACCACCGAGCGTCACCTCCTTCCAGCGCTATCTATCTCACCAACATCTACTATCGCCTTCCATCAGCCACTTTGCTTTGCTGGAACACCTAGAAAATACTAAACTCTATTTTAAAGTCTGAATATGCTTCTTATCCAGATCTTCAACATTTCAGATCTGATGAAGCACGAGAAAAACTCTTTGATCTGCTTCGCCGGAATAACAGATGTGATGGAGTATGAAGCTCTTTGTTGCCTCCAGATGTCCGACCACCTCCAGATCTACTTCTTTATTCAAACAACCACTGGATTCTGCCTTTATCTTCATTTACACCCGATCAATTCAAATCTTATGTAGATATGAGAATTTGGTGTTATTATACAAAGGTTTTTCTTTCTATTTCATCATTCCATCATTGGATCTACATCAGATCTATTCCCCCCACCGTTGGTGTCGTTGTCGGAGCATCAAAAATCGCAAATTGCAGTCATCATCTCAACCTACAGGTGCTAATCTTGATCTCGTTTTGTTCCAGAACTCTTAAAACTTTTTTTTTCTGATATGTTCCATCACCAGCGAAATGTTTGTCGGATTTGTACAAAATCTGTTATGTGTCGCCTCCTTCTCATCTATAACTCATTTCGTCTCTGTCTCTCTTATCTCTCATCAATACACCACCAAATTGACATCAGATCTGATGTGGTTGTCTATTTTCAGGTTAGATCTAGCGTGTGTATGGTGTTTACATTGATGTTGCTTACAAAAGGAAGTTCTGAAAAAAAGGATGCACACAAGATGTTTGATGAAATGCCTCAATAAAATTTGGTAAGTTATTAAGCTGTGAATGCATATTTTTTGTATATTAAACTATGAAGTTTGTGTATTTAACTATGATATTTTTGTTTAAAACTGTGAATTAAATGCGTTAAGCTGTGAATTTGTTGTTTAAACTGTAAATTGACTATATTAAGCTGTGAGTTTTGTATATTTAACTATGAATTAAATGTATTAAACTGTGAATTGATTGTATTAAAATTTTGAAGTTGATAATATGCTTTTGAATGCATATTTTTTTTTTTTGTATTAAACAGTGAATTTTATGTATTTAACTATAAATTAAAAGTTTTAAGTTGATAATATGTTTTTCTACTTGCATCTATTGTAGATCTATATGATATAGTTTTTTTGTTTGTTTTTTTTTTTTTTTTAATTTTAAAGTGTGAATATGATGTTTTAATATCTCTATTTGTCGTATAATTTTGTTAATCTTAGTTTTAACTGCTATTAAGTTGTGAATGTATAATTTTTTTTTGAATTAAACTTTGAATTTATTATACTAGTTTGTAAATTTTCTATATTAAATTGTATATTAACTGTAATAAGTGTTTTAAGTTGATAATATGAATGTGAATACTACTTTTTGTGTATTAAAATGTGAATTTAGTGTACTAAGTTGTCATTTTTGTGTTTTAAACTGTGAATTGATTTCATTAAGCGTTGAATTTTCTATTTAAACTACAAATTGATTGTATTAAGCTGTGACTTTTCTGTTTGAACTGTAAATTGACTAGATTAAGCTGTGAATTATATGTAGGCCCTAATTATGTGTATGAAACTATGAAGTTACTTGTATTAAGCTAAGAATTTTGTGTATAAACTTTGAATTGACTATATAAGGAGTGTTAAGTTGAAAATATGGTTGTGGATGCATACTTTTGTGTAATAAACTTTGAATTTTGTGTACTAAACTGTGATTTTTGTGTTTTAAACTATGAATTGACTGCGTTAAACTGTGTATTTTCTTCTTAGACTATGAACTAACTATATTAAGCTGTGAATTTTGTGTATTAAATTATGAGTTAATTGTATTAAGTTGTGAATGAGTTGACATTAAGCTGTGATTATTTTATAATTTTTTTTGTTTGCTTTTGAAATAATGCAAATTTTATTCACAACTTAATATATTAAATTCACAATTTAAAATATGATTGAATTATGTATAAATTTTTTTGTTATTTTTATTTTCTGAATATATTTATTTTTTGTATTGTATAAGTATGTAAGAATACATTAGTTTAATAATAATTTTGCATTAAATTTAAAATGAGTGAAATAAATGGTTTTATTAGACTGTGAATGTAGTATTTAAGTTATTAATGCATGACTTTGTTTACAGATCCGATTTAAAAGAAAATAATGGTTGCGATGCTAGTACAGGTGGTTGGTGGCAACGTGTGGTGGTGGTAATAGTAGAGTTTGAAATTTTGATTTCTTTGAGTTTGTGAATTATTATAAAATGGTTTGTATTAAGTTAAGAATTTTGTGAATTAAACTATAAATGGACTGTATCAACTTGTAATTTATATAAGTTGTGTGTTCAAATATGAGAGCATATAAGAATTAAAATATTATACTGCAAAAATTACAATTTTGCCCATTTTGTATCGAAAAGAGGAAAAAAAAATAAGATTCACATGTTTAATAAGAATATCATGTAAATATTTCCTAACTAATGGGGTTCTTAATCTTTTGTGGTTCTCATTTGAATATATATATATATATATATATATATATATATATATATATATACTAGTTGTGTACCCGCGCAATGCAACGGGACACAAATTGTTAGGGATGAACATCAACCGATGTGGTTTACTTTTGGCCGAAATGAAAAAAAATGTAGAGTTTTTTTTTTAATAATACATTTTGGATCTT